CATGAAAATAAATTTCCGGATATGCAAAGGACAACCTTCGTAAAGAGATGACATCTTGACGAACATACTGGCGATTCAATAATGCCCGGTGGTCACCATTCATGGAACGACCATTAGACCGGTATCGAACCATGCTTTCCTTCAACCGATCGTTCTACCGGTCGTTACGTTTTCACGATGTTTAATACTCGCCGTAGATCGGGCTTGCACCGTTTACTAGAGGGACAGGTATTGTCCGTTTCTTTCACACATTCCACCGACACGCAGCAGAATACAACAAAATGAGAAAAAAAAAGTAATGTAGTACGAAAACAATCGATAACTCGTCCTTTAATCAAAATTTAATATTAGTTCTAACCAATTAATCATTTATTTTGAGTATTAAAAATATTCAAAGTACTTTTAATATCCAAAATATAATAAATGGTTAATTGACCAGTACTAATAAAATAATACGTTCTTGATACATCGATTTATAAGATTATTATAAGTGGACAAAAGATTGTTCCTTCGTGTTTTTATAGGTTATAAACATAGTTTTTGTGCAGCAGCGTATGTATACGTTAAATGCGAATACCTTCCTTTAATTAAAAAAAAATGTACAATACACTGTCTAATATTTTCTTATATTTTCTTGTAGCAATTAAAGACTACATAAAAAGTGAAACGCGTTTGAATTTACCCGTATATCTTCGTTTATACTCGTAATATACCATATTTATATAATAGCCATAATTTATAATTTTAAGGTAATTATATTACTTTCCCTCGGAGTTGTACAGCCTTTGTTTAATGGATCGCATTATGTAAGTGTATACCGCGATATTATACGTATACTATGCAATATACAATAAATACGGCATTTAAGTCATAATCATCGATTCTTCCATAAATGCGTCGCAACAGCTGTGTGGAACGTAAAGTTTATATAAAATGTGCAACCTGTGGTATACATTTTTTATGATAATACAATAGCCAGTTGATTGTATATAATAGAAAAAAATTAATGCTCTTTTATAGGAAAATAACGTGGCCGCTATATATAAGCGTATTGCGTATTTGGCAATTTTTTCTGCGAGAATTTTGTCCTGAAACAATATACAATAACGTTCCACAGGCACGATTTTAATCCTATTTCTCTTTTTTTTTTTTACGCCCCGGTATTCGCTGATGACGCGTACATAACGAACGCACGATTTTCCGATGAAACGGACAAATCTTCAATCTATTGATCAATCATGGAGAATAAGCCGATGCGGCGAGTGCGTCGAATTACGGTCGGACCGCAAATCTATTATTCTGTATTGAGTGACAAGTTGCCTCAGAAATTATTGGATAATAATGTAAATCTAAATCGCAACGTTGACGCACACGTGGAAGAATCGATCATTTCGAGGAAGAATATATCTCTACACGTGCCATCATCTGCTCTGTCACTGAATAACTGATGCGGTTAAATTAAGAGCTCGGATTATGCTCGTTCAATTACTAGGAACGGGTGGAACATTCGCCGTAAGGAGAATTGCACAAAAGCCAAGGGGATGAAAACCTCGTCGTTCAATATTTTTTAATGAACATGTAAGTTCCCTATCTCTTTCCGTTCTTTCGTGAAGATCACCTGTATTAACGTTATCGAAAAACCGTACGTTAAGCAAAGCGGAAACGTGCAACTATCCTTCCCACCTTCGCGTCTCTGCGCCGACCACAAATAATTCCAGCCATTAACTGTGCTACCACGGCCTTTTGTACACACTGGGTAACAACTTTTTATTACCACTTTTAGTGCACTAGCCGTTGCGCTTGTAAAGAAACTCGGCAACCTGATTTACGAGAATGCTGGATACTTTCCGGACGTTTCCTCTTAGATTCGCTAAGAACTGATACGCTCTTTACTCTTGGCAATCTTGGCGTGTATGTTCTCGTATATATGTATGTGTCTGTGTATTAATTTCTCGCAATAAAATACTTAGGTATGTATATACTATTTATAGCAAAAATAACGTATATTTTTATATTATAGTAAACCTATATTTTAAGTATGCTGTCAAAATTTATAATTCTTTATACAAATGCAAGATTCAATAATTAAATCGAATATTTTAATCGTTATTTCATAATAATAAATAAAATTTACCTCATATTTCAATTTTACAGATAAATTTATACGGCATTTTATATGGTTTCTGATATTTCATTTTATTATTTAATAAATAAAATATCAGTAATTAAAAAATGTAACGAAGTGTCAATATAATTAAAAACTTTTTTTAATGGAAAGATTATTTGAAAAGTTTAACGAAAAATTATTAAGTTATTATACATGTAGACGGTAATTCAAAACGCATTCGACTGTTGTATATTAAAATTATTTAAAAAATGAGCGTAAAATGATTATCCAGATTTAAATAAAAACTTTACTGTTAAATTTTCCCAAATAGCATAGTAAATGTTACGTAAATCATGATTTATAGCAGACATTTATTTCGCATTTACAAACGATTATAATCTCATCTCTCTCTCAGAAGAAATTGATTGTATCTCAGGGAGCATAAAGGTAGCCGAAAGGCCATGAAATACTCTCAAAGTACAATTTCATAACGATGACCTATTTTATCCGCTAACTTGACCAAGGAACACGTTACAAAATATCTTAGGCAGATATTACAAAGTTCAAAGTACCACACCTGACAAAGCTGATAAAGCTTAAAGGGCAGAAACAGAATTCCGGAGCGAAAGACGAAATTATGATAAGAAAAATAGCCAATAGTAAAGACAAGAAGACGAAGAAGATATATAACGGGATATATTCTACATCTTGAATGATTCGCGAACAATCTATTCTTCCTCGTCTTTTTTCATTACACGAAATAACCTCGTTATGCGATCATCATAAATAATTTCTTCTAACTCAACTCCGCAATCACCGACGCGATCTTCCCAATGAAGACTTCATCATGGTCGAACAAGACTGAGTAGTAACTATTTTAATAAGTTAAAAAATAAATAAAAGTTAATAACTTTTTGTAACTTAATTTAATTAATTTCATATGAACTCATTTTTAACTTAATTTAGTTACTTTTAAACTTAATTTATTAGCTTTTTCTTTTTAAAACATGCATGCATGTCTAACACGAGGATGAATACAAGATTACTTACACTTTTAAAGCGTACATTTCTTTTTTGTTATAACTGGCCAACAAAATTAACGTAACACCTGTTTTATTCTGCAAAAATAGACAAATTTCAAGATAGAATAACCGTCAAAAATCGTTATATCGAGATGTTTAAAAAAACATTTTTCAGATTGCTACTTTAAAAAACGGAGATTTTATGAAGCTATACACAAACATTTGTTGAGAAACTGCAGGTAAATTTCAAGATAAAATAGCTTCGTCAGTATTCATCGTATCAAGATGTTTAAAAAAGCATTTTAAAGCATGAAATCTCTACTTTTCAGATCAGTTATTCAAAAACGGTCTTATTGATATTTCGTGAAGTTACACAAATATAAATAAAAATGCGTCAAACTTAAAAACTTTTTACAAAATTTGAAAAGTTCCATAACACGAATTAAGTGAGGTTTACAGCTTTCAAAAGAATAAATCTTAACCTTTAATTTTTTTTTTATCGACCTCTGTACGATTTTTTCTCACCGAGATATTCAACGTTGAACAAAAAGGGTCATTTTTGCTTCAACGTTAAATAACTCAGTGAAAAAAAATCGTACGGAGCTTCGTAAAAAAAAAGTAAATCAAAGGTAAAGATTCGTTCTTTCGAATGATGTAAATCGCATTTGTGTACAATTTTTAATCCGCTCTGTGCAACTCCGCAAACTTCGTAAAAAATTTTGAAATCTGTCATATCTTCATTTATGTTTGTGTAACTTATGTTGTGTAACATAAAATCTCCGTGAAATCGTTTTTTAAAGTAGCGATCTGAAAAGTAGAGGTTTCAAGCTATAAAATACTTTTTCAAACATCTCGATATGACGATTTTTGACGAAATTATATTACCTTGAAATTTATCTATTTTTGCAGAGTGAAACAGGTGTTGCGTTAATTTTGTTAGACAGTGTATAAATTTCAAAATATAAAATACCTAAGTAAAAATATTGAAAATCAGATTTTTATAGTACAAGAAACATCTGTGTCATTTTATATAGTTCACAAAAAAGATTAAATTAATTTGATGATCTATATTGCAATTGTTTTGTTATTTAAAGAGAAAGAGAGAGAGAGAGTAATCTGATTTCAATAAAAATTAGAATATTGCGAGTAGCGATCGTGTAACTTTTTTCCTCAGGTAAAAATCTGAAAAGTGAAAACTTTTTATATGTATGTATATATATACATATATGTATATATATGTACATCAAAAATTTCATTTTTCATGTTTTCTCTTTAAAGAAAAAGTTACATGGCTGCTACTCTGATTTGATAAAAATAATATTTTTCAAAATTAACTTTTTATTTAACTTCAATTAATTCGAGTTTAACGTAACTTTAATTGAGTTAGTTTTTGTCCATTCAACTTTTTAAAGCTATTAATTTTAACTTAATTTAGTTTTAAAAAAAGTTATCCAATCTTGTAGTTGAGATTTTAAGATTCGACCGAACGCGATCACGAACGTAATCCCGTAAGCTCCTGTCCTTCGGCAAATCAGAGAAGTAAACCGATCGATAAACGAAACGAATACGTTCGCAACCCGTCGCGTATATCACGTCATGTCGTTCAGGACTGCCTTGACGATGCAATCATGTCAGTCATCGATCCCGATAATGCTGCATCGCTATCGCAATGCATTGTGCGTTCGTGCCTATTATTCGCGCAAACACGATAAACCGGGACAATGTTCTTTTGCAGTTCCGTGTTTAATCTCACGCCCGAGTTCCGGCGTATTCCTCTATATCGTGATAAATAGCAAACATTACAGGAGCTTACTCGAAAATTGCGGTTGGACGAATCTTTCATCATAATTTACGTCATCCCTTCGTTGCAGACCTGGAAGCTCGGGATGCATGGCGGCGATTATGCATGGATTTTGCCAGGTGAAACCATTGACTCCTTAGGACTAACGGGCAATTGGTGGAACGTCGGCGTCGGAGAATGTTCACCCTCTCAGCTGTCACAGACTCTGGATGGTTTAATCATCGTCAAGAGCCACGCCACAGTTGTAGGGAATGAGACCAGCTCCTCGGGATTGGTATGTTATTCTCGCCAAATTTGCCGTTTACATATTTTTTATTAGAACACATGGGGAAAAGTCGCAAGAATATTTCTTGTTTGTCTGTATCAATCTTTAGTTTATTGGTATTATAAAAAATGTATCACTTTTACAAAAATAAGCATTAAAGTATTACTTAAATCAATTTTTTAAGAAAACAACTATTGATACTATTTGTATTTCTAAGATAAATGTCATAACTTTTTACAAAAAAGGATCCAAATTTTCTCAAAACTTTACAAATGATGTCTATAAATAATTTTTTGTAAGTTACGTTTAAAAGACTCTCAATACAAATATACTTTTTTTATATACAAATATTAAAATATAATAATAATTATAAAATATTATTCAACTACTCAAATTTAACATGTTATTTTATCTTAAATGTAGGCATAATAAATTATCTTAAAGATAGGTAAAGAGGGACAAGTAATTATTTATCCCTTTTGACAAATTTGATGACAACAGCATAACCCACAAATATTTTACTAATTTGATGCTGTATCCGAAGTTTAAATATTAATTATAATCTTGTAGTATATTAAGCTTCATTTACCTTGTTCTAATCACACATTAGGTAGATTGCATAAAAACTTATATCAAATATTAAACAAAATTATTTTGGATCTCACTCGAAAATGGACGGTTCGAAGACAAAATAAAAATGACAATACTAAAGCAATGCTGGCGTCACTTTTGCATTGTTACTTTAAAGAAAATATTTTAATAAGAAATCACGATGTAAATGCGATCTAACCATCTGTACGATTTAGCCAATTCTCCTCTAATAGCCGATAATAAACTACATTGAATTGAATTGTCAATATTGACGTAAACTAATTTCAGCTCTATATATTACATGATTCTCTAAGTTTCTTACTACTTTCTTTAATTTATATGTATTCTTTGACAAGTTTTATTCTCAACAGCAATCATACTTAGAGAATTTCGCGTTTATGAGGCAACAAATTTAATAAAAGAAAAATAGATAACGATCGTTCCACACCGTTACTATTAACGGTGACGATAATTGCAGAATTCTGCGTTCCATAAAAGCGAAGGCGAAGATGCGAGAAAGCTTAGTCGCAGGACCGTTGCAATAATAACGCCTAGCTGGTTGCTGCTACAACCTCTAGCGCTTAATAAATGAAGTCCCACGAGCGGAAATTAGAGTATGCAACGAAGAAGGCAGGAGGTCTTGCCCTGCTATAGACGTGCCTTCCATTCTGTTCCATTAAAGACTCACGTAATAAAACGTCAAAGTAAAAAAAGAACCTAGGTCGTAACGCCTTTTCGCACCCTTTAGAAACGAGTAATCAGCCTAATGACAACCGACGAGCCGCCGTAATCGACGTTCGTGTCAAAAGTCATCGTCAATTTTGAGCACTCTCGAAAATAACAAGTCGCAAAAATAGACGGCGCGTCGCGTCGCGACGCGCGCCGTATGTGGATTGTACACGTCGCACACTTTTCACATCCGACCAACGTCTTCCCCGAACGGTTCCAATATAGATATCTGTCCCGAATAACGTTCCGAGATACGTTTCCTCCCGCGATATCAGCATGAATAATTTCGCCGCGTATCGGAGTAATTTCTCCACATGACCGAGTGATAAAAAAAAAGCAATTTTTTTTATGTACAGTAGTAGTTTTTGTAATGTTAGATAAGCGCATTTGAGAAAGCGTATTTTTTTGGTAGCCCGACATCACAAAATCTTTTACTAACAGAAAGTTTACTGTTATCATGAAAGAACGTTACACGTTTTTTAATGTAATTTAATATATATTTAATGTAATTTAATATATGCACTAACACTTTTTAAAGACAAACAGATGCGAAAGCATAATACGAATGCTTTGAAATACGATATATCGTAAAAAAACACGCTATTTTCGCTAAATCGAAATTATAATTATATAATTATCAATTTTTAACATCTTTGCGTAGAAAAATTGCAGCAAGATATTCTTGGTCTTGTTGAAAAACTAAGACTGTGGCACTTTCAGAGAATGTAAGACATCTATTTCCGATGAAAGTAGGTAGCAAAATGTCATTGATTTTTGCATATGAAAATAAAACTGATCTTTTTTTTCGAAATTTATATCCCTCAATTTATTATAACATTATAATTATACATTAATTGCGAAAAGTACAGAAATTGTACATGAAATCATTAAAAATAAGCGTTTCATATAGGACAGTCATCCGTTTGAGTCATTTTATCCGACTATTCACTTGTTTATTCTGTGCCCTCAATCTAGAAATAATCATGGGTAAACTTTAATACATTTAAATTCGTGGAAAGTTCAAAGTGCAATGCGAAATATATATTCGAATCCAAGTAATCTAATTAAAAGTATCATTAATATATAAATTGTGAGTTCAATATGACGTTCTAAAATATATTCAATGTTAGTCAGTAATGTATAAAAAGAATTATAAGTTTAACGTTCTTCCAAGAATAATCGTTCTAATTTTTCAGCCTACGAGCTAAAAGAAGATACGCGTTTCAAAAGTTAAACGGCTGGAAAAACATCTCGAGTATGCTGAATATAAAGAGAAAGATTCGACATACTATTTTCCCTTTCGGTGCGCAATTTTCAAATTTCTGAACGTAAAATTATAAATATAAGAGCCACGTGACATTTCAGCGGATATTACAGAAATAGTAATTCGAAGTCTAGTTCCTAGTAAGTTTAATGCAGCATACAGAAAAGCTCAAGAATGCTTACTGTGTGCTAATCTATAATAAAATGTGATTTGTAGTCGCTTAACCAGATTTGCTGCGGCAAGTTCGACGAATAAGAGTTTTCGCTATCCTTGTTACTTGCTACGCAAATTTATTCCGATGAATATCGTACTGCGACATTCTCGCTAATCTGGCTTACGATGCGCGCTTCGTCGCTTCAAATAAAGATAACATTATTAAAAATTAAAATTCTTTCGTTTCTCCTTTTTGTGTAAGTATTCTACAGATATCGATATTACTAAAATATTAAATTAACGACTGGTAATATTTTTTTTTTACTCTTGCAACACGCTTTTTTTCGAATGGAATACACGCGTTGTTGACGCGAACGACAAATTAAATTAACGCTCGCTCGTCAGTCGATTCAAACGTCCCGTCTCTTCTATTTTTTCTTTTTTAATTATACGACTGCGCGAAATGTTTTGCGCACCGTCCGACAACGCTTTATGCGTCGATTCCATTCATTTTGCAGACCAGCAAGAAATTTACTTCGGAGCTGAATAATACAGGCGTCATACACTCGAAATACGCGGGTCAAACCTATGATGCCGTATGGGCCATGGCACTCGCCTTCGCCGAAACTGAAGTCCTTCTAAATCGACGGAACGAAAGTATGGCGCAGTACGCTCACACGAGGAAGGACCTCGCCAAGCTTTTATTGGAACAGCTTAAGGATCTACGCTTTATCGGAGTTTCGGTGAGTCCGTACAGCCGAAGAATAAATAAAACATGGAAAGAGAGGCAGTTTATTATACGTATGTTTGAACGTCCACGAAACTTGAAGGACGTCACGGGAGAGTGAACGAAATTGCTCCACAAGTTCGTATATGTATACAGGACATTCTTCGTCCTTTTATCTGTAGGTCCTCTTTTATTAATTCGGTGCTAAGTTTCTCATAAAAGAGAAATATCAAGCGATTTTTAAAGTTTCAATAATAATCGAAGAACTTTTAACGAACGTTAAGCTGGAGAACACAGGCTAAATTTAAAGTCAAGATTAGTTATAAACCGGTGACTATTATAGCTTCATTTTTCTTGAAAAGCAATGAATTTTTAGAAGAGATTCTTTATACCTGACATGAAATCTTTGAAATCAATATATAACATGATATGATTAATTTAAAATTGACTTACAATGAATATGTGCTTCGATTCACGTTTCACTAATAAAACGTAACTGTCTTTTATATTTTACGACACCCCGTTATTTTGTATTTTTCATAGGTATTTCTTCTCATTGTATTTACAGGGCCCAGTTTCCTTCGACGATGCAGATCGTGTTGGCATCACGGCGTTCTATCAGATGCATGGTAAGTTCTATTTGAAAAATAAAGATGTAAAAAAAATCATGCATTTTGCTGACAGGCGAAAATCTATAGCTCATAATATAGAAAAAACGACTTTGCTGGAATATTTAAAAATTAAACTAAATACAAATCTAAAAATAATTTTATTAGACCATCATAATTATACGTAAGAATCTCGAGTATAATAAGCAATGCTGCAAAAAGTTTTGATATTCTAGCAGCCACCTACATAATTATTTTGGTGGCTTAACAAAATTATCTTTAAAACTGTATTTAGCTTAATTCTTAGCCTATATTAGCAAAACTGTTCTTTCTATACACAGTTACTGAATTAAATAAATTAACTGACATGACAATTAAGGAATCAGGGAGTTACTGATTTGGTAAGATTTAATACGATAAACCATTTGTTGACGCGCGAACTTCAATGATGATGAGCCGTATAGTACATTTCGCTGTACTCTCTGGACTTTACGCTTCATCCGCTCTGCCGGAATGTCAATAACGGCGTTAAACGTACAATGAGCAGCAAGAGCTTACACCAGGGTACACGATGGAACGATACAACTAGCACAGACAATAGCATGATTCTAACGATGCGGCATATCGCGTATTCTATACCGAGGACAACTGGCGCATGGACGCGCGTATAATCCAATTTATGAGTTTTCTATTATGAACCCGCGCGTCTAGCGTCCCGCTAATGCGTTTTGTTTACGAGCATTTCCACGCCGTGCTTTAAGTCCATCTCGGTCTATCACTATTGCGAATGCGTGTGTGCATGCGCATCCTATAGTACATGTCCTCTCGAACAGAAAGCGCAATCTTCTTTTCAGAAATCGCTTTATATGCTATATGATCGCTACGAATCTCGAAACAAGATTATTCGTCTCTTGCTTTGATATAGAGATACCGTCCTCTATTATCGATACTGCACGTATTGCTCCAATTTTCGCAAGTGATGATCTGTTAAGTATCTTATGCATTTAAATGAACGCCAATGACAATTACATGTACTAGGCTGTGTATAATATCAAGCAATTTATGTTCGAAATTAATCGCTTGTCACAACTTAAATAAATGATATTATAAAACAAATTGCAGAGCGCAACAAATGTTATTGACTGATCTACGAGAAGTGTAATATATCTCTATATAATTATTAAAGTCACGATGAAATATAAAAATGATATAAATACGTGACGTGTTTTTCTTTTCCTTCTTTTCTGATTTCCAAATGTCAGAAATGTCTAAAGTTTGTTGACTCTTTATCCACATTTATTTTGCAGAAAATCTTCTTGTCGTACGCTCGACTTAGAGAAACTTTATATTTCCCAATTGTATATGGAGAGTTTCATACATAGACACATTGAAACAATTTTCAAGAAACACCTGACATTTTGATTCAAAAAGTTTTCGGCGTCCCTAGATCGTGATTTGTTCGAGTGATTGTAGCATTTGAACTACAATGGTGTGTATTACGATTTCTCATTTGAGAGAAATGGGGGGAGTGCGATTTGAATATGTGATTTACGCATGTCTCCTTATTTATATCCCCAAGAGACTAATAGTCTGACTATACTCCCAGGTAGGATACGTTGGATATTATACCCTAAGGGTTGTCTATCACGTACATACATATATATGAGCTTCTGAGATTGAAATGTAACGGTATCACCAAAAATGTATGCAAAAATATCTATCTTACATTTTTAATTGTAATCGCGCCACCCCTGGCTATGTTATCAACGGGCGCACAAACGGCCACGTTTAAAAATAATCGTGCACAGTAAAGTAGCACGTCGGCACTGACATTTGTATTAAATTAAAAATTAGTCTGTCTCTTTTATCATTAACGCTACAGTAACGCCGTTGTCACGCTCGAATATAACGTTAATTAATCCAGAGAAACATTAGCCGAGAAATCGTGCCGCGCGATGTACTCTGATAGACGTCGTGATGATTACCTTTCTTCCTGGCCATTTCTTCTCTCCATTATTCGTAAATGTGTCCACAGCCACGCATTCTGAAAATGGAAATTCAATTTATTAACATTGTCGTAATATTGTTTAATTGCTATATGCATTTATGAAGTCTCTTTCTATTTCAGCGAAATACTATCTTTTCCCAATACGCCGTGTGTGCATATATAGGATTAATCCTATTTGTCACAGAAAGTGCGCAAAGGGAACTGTGAATGTAGGTATGATGTACCATAATATATCTATCACGATTTCATTTATATTTGTCATCAAAGATAAGTTATTTTTGTAGTTATTCTTTTGTTCATTTCTCATGTGATTCAGTGAATTATTAGAAGTAATGCAGGCTCAGTAATATGATAAAAACTCGAGGAAAGAAAGCCGTGATAAGTGGTTGATGCTGATATAAATATGCATTTGTAATTAATCAAATTACTTTATTACTAAACAGTGTACATAAATAAAAAATAAACAAACGTTTCGATCATCAGTTTTTGATCTTCCTCAGTGCTAATGTAATAATAAAAGAAAAGACAAATTTAGAGATTATTATTAATAATAAACGTTTAACTAAGTTAGTGTAAAACACTCCTGAAACCTTAATTTGCAAAACAACTGTGAACTTTTAAATTGTTTATATAATGACTTAATTAATAACCTTAAAGGATTGTAAAATGCTTCTTAATTTTAATTTTTAAATTTCAATTTTAATTTAATTTCAATTTGTAATTTAAGTTTGAATTTAATTGTTCCTTTAATGCATAAGTAGATATAATTTCAATTTTTTTAATTTTAAATTTGCGTAATATATAATAAACTACAATGTACTTACTTTTAAATTTTGACGTTACTTTTAATATTATTTAATCTCATTCTTGACCTTTATATATGTATTATATGTATATTAGTCTCGCTGTACGTAAATGACAAACAATTAATTATCGTCACTTTTGTTTGAACTGTCTTGACGATGTGACCACAATCTATCAGCGTAATTGTCTGTGACTTATTTAAGATGGTCGACTTATTAACATGGCAATTTGCAAAATCATAAGCTTTTCCTTATTTATTAACATATAAGAATTAATTTGTTCGTTTTATTATATTAGTCGCAACATTATCTTAATGTTCATGAGAAACAACAACACACAAACGAAGATGCGCTTTTGTCGCTTTTAACACTAACCTATTTAGAGCATTATCACGACTATCTTATAAATCTTTCTTTTTTTATTATCACATGAGCACTGAGAAAAACTAAAATCTATAAGGAAATGTTTACTTATTTTTAATTTATAAACACTCTTTGTTAATAAATTAATTTGATTAATTACAAATACGTACTTCTATAACAGCATCGGCTCATTATGACTTTCTTGTATTCAAAACATTGTTTCAAATCTTTTGTTTGTAAAATAACATTTTGAATAAAATTATTTGAATAATATTCTTAGACAACTATTGATTTTATTATGGCATGTTTATATCGTGAACCAAAGTCATCATTCTGCTATACCGCTAACAAATCGACATGAAAACTTTCCATGACATTCCCATTCGTTCGAAACGTCTGGTAGAAATCGCGTAGACTTCGCAAACTACTAACTCGACGCAGCACGACCATGGAACTACTAACTTTGCGTGCGTGAAACTGGTATTGAATTATAAAACTGAGTGCCTCTTGTACTCAAAATTGCAATCAGACATCTTTTGCACTTGTGACACTCTATCACTGAATTCTTATCTCCTTTTTTATATTTTTAAACTCAATACGAAATTAAAAATTCATCACAATTGGCACAACGTACAATTCAACATATGTGTTTATAATTCTGTCATCGAGATAGTAATTATAATACTTGTAGTAATTATAATACAATTTACAAACGAAACGTCATGATACGGGAAACCGAATGTCTCCTGCAGGAATCGAATAAAATCTGCAGAGTAGTTTAGCAGGAAATCAATACATATCGACCTCTTATTATGTTCCACCACTTTGAGTTGAATCAAATACAGGTCAGTTAAACAAGTGAATTATATTGCCAAAAACATAGATTTATTTATTTCTCAAAATACTATTATCCAAACAATATTTTTTTTAAATTTCATATTGCGCTTTGTTTTCTTTGATAACATTTATTTTATTATTGTTTCGATGTTAAAATGAATTCAAAACACGTGTTTTTGAGAAAGAAAGAAAGAATGATTATTGTGATTCTATAGGCGAACATATTTATTATATAATAATCAAGAGTATTATAGATAGGTACATCGCGTTGCGAAAATCGACCCATCTTGCCTTCAATATTTAATTGCAATCAATCACGATCACGTTAAATGCCCTAGAGTAGATCCTCGTATGGATTTCCAATATGATGTTAAGTCTTTTAACTTTTAACACATTCAGCCATTTACCGCGTGATATTTCACTAATGGCAAAAACTAATGGATTTTCCTTTTTTTACGAGTTGACGAAATGTGTGAAAAAGTTTCCAGCAGAATTTATTTTCTAGTATAAATTGACTAATATTTCACCACCAATTTTTGCAACCTCTCGATGGTCTGTTTGTGTTACAACTTTCCCGCTTTATACGTTTGTTTTTTGTTTCTCATCCTATATTTTTAATGTTGCGTATAGATACACACAAAATGCACAAAGTTTTTTTTCTCTACACAGTAAATTCCTGCTTTGTAGGATTATTACGAATAGATGCCGTTCGATGTAATACTGACCACTTTGATAAGCAAATAAAATAAGACGAAAGTTAATCAAATTTATGCAAGCGGAAGCGACTCCTTCGACGCGTGAAATCCGCTTATGACGAAGTTATTGCGCGGTTATCATAAATTCGCATGCATTAAAGCGCGACCATAGCCGATAACGGGACGAAAATAAAAGCGACCAATTGCATATTCAGTTAGTTTTTGCAGCGTCACGTTAGAGCAGTATCTCGACGCGGTTTCACTTTTCTGCCTCGCGCATATAAAACTCCCCGGGGTAGGTTCGCCCCGTGGCGG